GAGGGGGGAGGGTCAGAGGGAGAAGCAGACTCCCCGCCAAGCAGGGAGCCCGATGCGGGACTTGATCCAGGGACTCCAGGATCATGACCTGAGCCAAAGGCAGTCGCCTAACCAACTGCGCCACCCAGGCGCCCGAGCATATGGGATCTTATAGGATTATGGCAGGGCTGTTTTTATTGATCTGGTAATGGTTATAAAGTTGTTTTATAAAACTGTCATTTATTTATATATTTCTCTACATGGTTTATTCCACAATAAAAAGTATTAAAATAACTACCATGACAAAAAAAAATACTAGACTATGGGCACCTGGGGTGGCTCAGTCACTTAAGCGTCTGCCTTCGGCTCAGGTCATGATTCCAGAGTCCCAGGATCAAGCCCCGTATCAGGCTCCCTGCTGAGCTTCTCCCTCTGCCCTTCATCCCGCTCGTGCTCGCTCTCTCTCTTTCTCAAATAAATAAATTTCTTTGAGCAAAAGAGTAGATGCTGAAAACAGTATTTTAGGAAAATTAATCTAACAGCTGAAAGCAGTTTAATAGCTGTTTATGGATTAAAGTGGAAGTATCCCAAAACAGAGCCCAATCCACTGTGAGGTGATAAAGTCTTTTTTAGATTTTGCTTTTAAGTAATCTCCACGCCCATCGTGGGGCTCGAACTTAAAACTCTGAGATCAAGAGTCGCACGTTCCTCCAACTGAGCCAGCCAGGCACTGGCGTCTTTTTTTTTAAAGGGGAGACTAACAATATTTGATAAACAGATTGGCAAAGTAAAGAGACTTTGACCTTTAGAGATTGAGAAAAGATTAGTAAAATTCTCTTTGATGTCAAAATTACAAGAACATGATCTGTAGTTTACTTTTGGCTATGATAGAAACACAGGGACCGGGGCACCTGATGGGCTCAGTTGGTAGAGCATGCAACTCTTGATCTCAGGGTTGTAAGTTCAAGTCCCACGTTGTGTGTACAGATTACTTAAAAATAAGATCTTCAAAAGAAAAAAGAACAACCAAATTTATCTTCCCATCTTAACTAGAAGAGTACAATAAATCAAACAGTGGTATTCAGGTATTAAACAACAGGCAACACAGAATAGTGATTCATGAGAGAAGAGAAACAAATGAAGTGTCCTAGCTTGCTGCCTGGAGTGAGTTTCCAGGCCATAAGATAGGGAAGTGAAACCTAAACAGAGCCTCACAGCCTCACCAAGTTGAATGGTCATGAGTTCAGAGTGTAGGTAGGACAAGATGGCTAGAATTTGCAAGGCAGATGACCCAAGAAGTAGTAGCTGCACGAAAAAGAAACTCCAGAAGTCCGCACCAGGGCTGAGTATTCATCTGGGCATATTTATGTTTGAGACTAGGAGAAAGGATGATTGAAAGGCATAGGTGGCTCATAAAGGGCCAGGAGTAGTTTGTGTTTCCACCAAGCTGAATCAGAAGACCTTCCACCATTTAGAGTATTAACTACAGTCCTTAGAAGTATATTGCCTGTGTAGTGGGATCAAATTAGCCCTTGGCAAAATCTTTATTTGGACCTACCTTAACAAAGTTTTAAAATAAGCCTTAAAAGAGGGATTAGAATGATTTCAGGTAACTTAAACTGGAATATATATTTTAATTGACTTTAATTGAAATTCTGTTTCCAGAATTTTACATTTCTTTCTCCCCCCACCCCCCCCAGAATTTTACATCTCTTAACTTTAGAGACACCACAGGGCAGTAGGACTCAAAACTTTTTGGTCTGAGGATCTCATTACATTCTTAAAAATTGAAGACCTCAAAGAGCTTTTATCATATTTTCTATAATAGAAATTAAAACTAAGAAATGTAAAAATAAAAAATTAATTCATTTAATAAACCCATTAGATGTTACCATCAGTAACATTTTTAAATGAAAAATAACTTTTTTCTAAAACAAAAATAAGTTAGTGAGAAGAGTGATATTGTTTGACATTTTTGCATATCTCTTTTATGCCTGGCCTAATTATAGATAGCTTGATTCTTGTATTTGCTTGGGGATTCACTCTGTTGCAAAATATTTCTTGGGTTGAGGGTATAGTCAAGCCTCAGGGATAAGTAGTTGGAAAAGTGAGTAGCCTTTTCAAATAATTGTGGATATTCTTTTATCTGATAGCACACCAAAACTCAAAAGGAGAAAGCTTATTAAATTTATGTGCAGTGTGGAATCTAAAGTCCTATCAATGAATGTAAAATCTCTCTACGTTAAAATTTATTGGTTTATCTTTCACTTTCCAGTAGATCTTTTACCCATACATGTTTTTTTTAACATAAGTATTGGTCACTTGGAAAATATTGGTTCACTGAGTTATGTCAGTCTTTTAAAGTTGGTATATTTCATCATAAAATAGCAAAAAATCAGATAATATCACCAACAGAAATTCTTTTTAAATATTGGGATGCTTATACTTATGTTCAAGCTCACAATGCTGTTTCTTTTGGAAGATTGAATTTTATGACTGACAAGTTATGTCAGTTGTTTTCCTTGAAGTGACAGATTTATTTTGAGAAAAATGTTGGCCAAGTAGCCAAGTCAGAATAACTACAGTTTGTCAGTCCATTTAAGTAAAATTGTCTATGAAAAATGGCTCAGTCAGATCACAATTTAAACAGTCTTACAAGTGCTTTTCCTCAGCATATTGTATTTTGATAAGCAGCAAAAGTGCTTTATGTGAACTTTGCATTTTGTTGCACAGAATGTTAAAAAGATGTGCATTCAAGGGTTGAGGTCTAATAAAATTACTTTTACTGCTTTAAGGACATTCTTAAGTGAAACTGGCTTTTTAAAAAAAAATACTGGTGCATGGCTGTAACACAGTGACTGCTGGTACATTTAATGCTGTTGCCTTGATTCTTTCTGAGACATAAGCAGTTTTGCCCACCATTACTTTTGCAGCATCGGTGTAAATGTCAACACAGTGAAAAAAAGTAAACAATGTCTTTCTTTTATTTCTTTTATTATGAAGTAGTTTTGACCTCAGTGATTCTTTGAAAAAGTCTTGGGGATCCTGAGGAGTCTGCCTAGTACATCTTGAGAGCCAGTACCCTGGGGCATCATAACACTAAAATTGAGAAGCTCCAGTAACAGCATTGTATTTAAAATAAGTTATGCTGCCTCTTTATCAAGTAATGCCTGGTATGGGGAAGAAAGTTGTAACTGTGTTCTTTGAAATACCTCAAATGTGTTTATTTAGTAGTCCCATGGCACTTTTAATACCTGTCAAATTTAAACTATTTATTGTCCAGTCTTTAAAATTATTTATTATTTATTTATTGGGGCACACTTCCTCTGCCCCCGCCACCCCCGCTTGTGTGCTCGCTCACGTGTTCTTTCCCTCAAATAAAATCTTTTAAAAATATATTACTTATTACTTTTATTTATTACTATTTTTGAATTATTTTTTCTCTATTATATTTTGATAAGATTTGAAATTATTCATAATCTGAGTATGAAAAAATTAACTGTGGTAAATAGTTTTAATACCCTTTAAAAAAATCACTTCAGGCAGGCATTCCAGACCCTCCAAATATGTCAGAAGAACTAATCCAATTGAAAGCCAAGGAGCGACACTTTTTGGAGCAATTATTAGATGGGAAAAAATTAGAAAATTACAAAATACCAGTACCAATCAATGCTGAACTCAGAAAATATCAGCAGGTAAAGTTTTATACTTATCTTATAAATAGAGATTATTCCTCTCAATGTACTTTGAAGAGTTTTTAAAATTGACTTAGTAAAAGCTTGTGTTTAGTGTTTATACCCATTTATTTCTCTTTTGCCTATAAAAATAAAGATTTTTGGTCTGTGCATACATGTTTTACAAGAAAAAAATTTTTATGATCTGTTCACATTTCTAATTTTCCTCTTTCTCCCAACCTTTCAGGATGGTGTGAACTGGTTAGCATTTCTTAATAAGTATAAACTTCATGGAATTCTGTGTGATGACATGGGTTTAGGAAAAACTTTACAGTCCATCTGCATTCTAGCAGGAGATCATTGTCATAGGTAATTTAAATATTATTTGTTAGAAAGAGCTTTCAGATGCTAAGAAATGTAAACAAGCCAGTTAATGCATTGTGTTTTATTGCTGTAAAGGGCCCAAGAATATGCAAGATCAAAATTGGCAGAATGTATGCCACTTCCATCCTTGGTGGTTTGTCCGCCAACATTAACAGGTCACTGGGTGGATGAAGTAGGTAAATTTTGCTCCAAAGAATATCTCAATCCATTACACTATACTGGACCTCCTACTGAAAGAATAAGGTAAGAACTATACAGCAAAAAATGTTTAATCTTTTGCTTTAAGAACTTTAGGATAAAATTTATTAAAAATGAACTCTAGTTTTTTTGATTGTCAGAAACTTTCTTATTTAAGAAAGATGAATATACATTATAAAGATACAACCAGTGAGACTCATGAACGTTTAAGGACTTCAGCCATTTGGGTTTTCCAAGTATTTGACCTAGCAACCAAAGCCATTCTCTGTGCCCTTCTTGAGAACCTTGTGATCATAGCATATCTTTCTCTAAGAGCCCTCTAATCCCCAGAATGCTTTTGCTTTGAAGTGGCTGCTCTGGCTGCCCTGATACCATAGCACTGCTAGAATTCTATTAGCTTTATCCTTTTTCTCTTAAACTAGTACATCCTTTATGTTCTAAATACAAATTTTGAAGAGCAGAATTTCATTGATTTCAGTTCATCTTTTAAAGCATGGAGAGTCTTAGGTTGCTGATTAGTCCATAGATTTGCTCCCCCTCTGTATATGTAATAGCTAACATATGCTGAGCATTTATTAGCCAGGCATTATTCTTAGTAGTTTCACATTTATGTAAAATTGTGTATTATGTATTTGCACAATCACCATATGAGGTATGGTTATTATTTTTGTTCCCAGTTTGCAGATAAAAGTCTAAGACATGGGGCCTGGGTCCAAGGTCATACAGCTAATTAAATGGGCAGAGTGAGGATTTGAACACAGGCAAGTCAACAGCTTGCACTCTTAAAAGAATTTAGTGTCAGAATTTATTCATTTAAAAGTATAGAAACTCAAACTAGCTTAAGCAGACAAGAAATTCCTTAATTCACTAAATTGAGAATTTCAGGGGTGAATTCTTGCTTCAGGCACATCTAGATGGCTCTCATTTGCTCTTCCTCCCCATACATAGCTTGTTTTATTGGTCTCTGCAATTGGTGGATAAGATGATCATAGATGGGAGCGCCTGGGTGGCTCAGTAGGTTGAGTGTCTGACTCTTGATCTCAGCTCAGGTCTCGATCTTCAGGTCATGAGTTCAAGCCCTGTGTTGGGCTCCAACATGGAGCCTACTTTAAAAATAAATAAAATAAATAAAAGATGACCACAGACAGTCTTAGAGCCACATTCTCTTAGCTTGGCAACCAGAGTAAACAGAGATCTTCCTTCTTTCCTCATGATTATATCAATACTGGAAATGACTGACTGGCCTGTTTGGGTCATGCTACCAAACCAGTCTTTGTGGTCAGGGGATAAAATATTGTGAATGGCTCAGCCTGATTCATTGCTTCATATCTTTGGTGATTATGGGCATTTGTGGCTCCTTCTCACCCCCCAGCACAACATGAAGTTTGGAAGGAATAGTGCCTTTAAGGAAGAGCTGTTAGCAAATTGTCCACCAGTTTGAATCAGGTACCCATCTCTTTTCTAGTCAGACTGAGTTAGGCTAACAAGGCCAAGTCAAAAGAAGAATGGTCTTGGGGCGCCTGGGTGGCTCAGTCAGTTGAGCGACTGCCTTCGGCTCAGGTCATGATCCCGGGGTCCTGGGATCGAGTCCCAGGATCGAGCCCCGCATCGGGCTCCCGGCTCGGCGGGGAGCCTGCTTCTCCCTCTGACCCTCCCCCCCTCATGTGCTCTCTCTCTCGCTCGCTCTCTAATAAATAAATAAATAAAATCTTTAAAAAAAGAATGGTCTTCCAGTGGCAGGGTCATGGATGTAGAGTAAGCAGAAAGGAAAGCTGGGTTTAGTAGGCACGTTGAAAACACCTTGTAAGATGGTAGTGGTAGCATCCCCTCTGAAATTATATTACAGACTTTGCAGGTTCCTTGCTTCGTAATCTTACTTCTTTTTACATACAGGTTACAGCATCAAGTAAAAAGGCACAATCTGATAGTGGCTTCATATGATGTTGTGAGGAATGACATAGATTTCTTTAGGTAAGAATTAACATTTTTTTCTTAAGAAAAACTTAGTATCAAATTTGAAGAGAGTTAGTATTTTCCTGCCTCAAAGACTCTTCATATAGTTCTTGCCATATACTAAAAGATGCTAAATTTTTTTGCTTATTCTCCCTTAGAAATATTAAATTTAACTACTGTATTCTTGATGAAGGCCATGTCATCAAAAATGGAAAAACAAAATTGTCAAAAGCAGTAAAACAACTGACTGCTAATTATAGGATTATTCTTTCCGGAACACCAATCCAGGTAATTATTAACTGTTCTCTCTCTCTCTCTCTTTATATATTTGCCATGTGGAAAGAAGGCTTGACATTTGGCCGTGAATTAAAGAAGTATTTTTCTTTTCTTTTCTTTTTTTTTTAAGTTTATAGGAATGATAATTTCCAGTAATTGTGTTTTATAATGGTTCATTTGGTATGTAACAGTATCTGAGCAAACCGGGTTTTAAAAAAAAACAATATGAAGGGATACCTGGGTGGCACAGTTGGTTAAGTGTCCGACTCCTGGTTTCAGTTCGGGTCATGGTCTCAGGGTCATGAGATTGAGCTCCTGCTCAGCGTGGAGCCCGCTTGAGACTCTCTCTCCCTCTGCCCCTCCCCACCAAGCTTGTGCTCTCTCTCTCTCTCTCTCTCTCAAATCTTTTAAAGATTTTATTTATTTATTTGATAGAGCACAAGCAGGGGGAAGGGGCAAGGGGGAAAGGGAGAAGCAGACACCCCACTGAGCAGGGAGCCCGATGTGGGGTGCTATCCCAGGACCCTGAGATCATGACCTGAGCCGAAGGCAGACGCTTAACTGACTGAGCCACCCAGGTGCCCCTAAAATAAATAAATCTTAAAAAAACAAAACAAAAAGGCAGTATGAAGAGCACTGGGTGATGTATGGAATTGTTGAATCACTATATTGTATACCTGAAACTAATACAATACTGTATGTTAACTATTCTGGAATTAAAATAAAATAAAATAATAATAAAATGTGATTTTAGGCTATGTAAATAGAAGGCTTGTGTCCAAAGTATGGGAGACTAATCAGACTTTATTCCACACTGGCCATTCTCCTTCTGTGGATGTACACCGCAGTCTGATTTAACATTGAAAAGCTAGAGCTGGTTCAGAGGGGAATCATCATATAGTAGAGGTGTGAATACCTGGGGTTAAGAGGGAATTGGAAGAGATTACAGAAGCTTATGTTGGAAAAGGAAGGAGATGGGTAAATTTATAGAAATATTCTGATACATTTGAGAGGTTCTGTTATCTTCTGGAGGAATTGGTTGCAAATGTTCACATCTAGGTTGGATAGCCAGCTCTAATGGGAAGATACCCTTCATCATTCTCCAAAGAGTGGAAGGGTGAACACCAAGTGACCTCTAAGATTCCTTCTGATGCTAAAAAATATTGACAGTTCTTTATTTACATCTCTGTTACTTTTCTTTTAAATTTATTTTTGGTGGTGGACTGATTATTATGTTAGGGTTTTGTTCATTAAGTGAACGCTTTTTGTTCACAATATTACTTTCACAACAAGTTTGTGTTTTTTTTTGTTTGCTTACAGGCCCTCTTTTGTTTCTCCCTTCCCCACTTGAACATTTTAGCTCTGAAGTTTATAAGGGTTTCTGCACTGAAGACCCATGGTAGCCCAGAGTTAGGAGGCAGAGCCTAAGTGGGATTAGAAGGGGAAGACAACCCACAATGGTGAACCAGAGCCCCAGCAGGATGAAGAGGGCTTCTGGAAGGGCATAAGGGGGTGGGATGGTACCTTAGGATCCACACATACTGGGAATGCATGTAAAATGAGAAAGTGCTGATTTTTTTTTTTCTTTCTTCCTTTTTTAAAAATGAAACTTCAACAGTAGAATTGGAAAGAACCTGTGCCTGTTCGTCATGACCCTTGAATACTGGATAGACTTGACCTATAATGAAACTCTTCTAGGTTTTCCTTAAGAAATAGTAATGTTGACCAAGTTCTTTAAATCTTGCTATTAATTTTAGTGTCAAAGATAAAAGAATCAGAAACATACTCATCTTCCTGCTCTTCTGTTTATTACTTGATAGATGCCACCAGTAGGATTTAAACACTATGGACCAAGGCTTATTCTGGTGGAAGAGACTTGAGAATTCCACCCAATAGGATAGAATATTTTCTCCAAGGATACTGATGTGAATTTTACAAATTAAAATACGGACTTACACAATATATGTAAAAATGTGGTTGATTACCCCTCATGTATGTCATTATAGTGGGCTTTCATTAATATTCCATTTTTCAAGTGTAAGGAAATAATCCCAGTACAAAAGATAACTGATGTTCCTTTCTTATGTTCAGAACAACGTTTTGGAGCTGTGGTCATTATTTGATTTCCTCATGCCAGGATTTTTGGGGACTGAACGCCAGTTTGCTGCTCGATATGGTAAACCTATATTAGCAAGTAGGGATGCTCGAAGCTCTAGTCGAGAACAAGAAGCAGGTATGAAAAAGATAGGATTTTGTACCGTGCAAGTGACTATACCTTATTCCTAACTTTTTTGAGCCATTTTCTCTTACTGTTAACAGGTGTTCTTGCGATGGATGCACTGCACCGCCAGGTCCTGCCTTTTCTTTTGAGACGAATGAAAGAAGATGTTTTACAGGATCTCCCACCCAAAATTATTCAAGACTACTACTGTACTCTTAGTCCTCTCCAGGTTAGAAATCTGGTGATTGTGGTTGGTGGTGGTATGTTTATTAGGAGAATGCTTTGAATAAGCCATACAGGTATTGAATAAAGGGAATTAGACTTTGGTTTTATCACTCAAATCTAGCTTCTGCTTTCATAGACTTTAGGAATATTCTGTTCCAAACGTGTAGAGATAGGACCTGAATGAATCTGTTTGGACATGTGGATATACATTTGAATATATGCATTTTGAATATGGCATTAAAATAAAAGCCAGTATCAATCATAGTTGCTTTCTTATATGTTGAATTAATCGGAAAAATTGCAAGGTTAAACTGATAAAGAAATGAGCCAAAGTTTATAAGGGCCAAAAATCTGCCTGTAATGTTATATCTTCACAACAGCATTATAAATATTGTCAATCCCCATTTTTGCAAATAAGGAAAGAGAAGCTTAGAAAAGTTAAATAACTTGCTCAAGGTTATAATAAATATCAGGGCTGAGTTTCAAACCTGGGTAGTGGGACCGCATCCCTTTAAAAGTACTGTTACATTACCAGTAAGTTTTTGAAATAAGACTTAGGTTTTGTACAGTTGTGATTTTGTACAGAGACCATTATCAAAGGAATTTTTTTTTCCCCAAAGGAATTTATTGTATGCCTTTCCTTCTGTAGTATTTTGTGAGGGGAAACTGTCCCTTTTCTTAGTAAGACATGGCCTATAGTCAGAATTTTCTGTTTTAATTTTAGGTTCTAGGTTAGTATGCATCCATCCATTTCAGTATTATGAGTTGATTTAGTATGATAAAATGAATTAAAGATATACAGACACACCCAGAAACTTAACTTTTTTTCCTCTCCTATCTATGCAACTTGAGTTAGCTTAGCAGGACACTAACCTAGATGCTGAGATCTCTGTGTTCATTTATATTATCTACCTCATCTGTCTGGGCCTCCATCCCTCATTTGTAAAAATTGGATTAGTATTCCTTGAAAGGAATATTTTAGGAGCAATGAGATGAAGACTGTTTGAAGTAAGTATAATAAAGAAAAGGTGCCATATGAAAAAAATCTATGGTAGGGGCACCTGGTTGGCTCATTCAGTAGAGCATGCAACTCTTGATCTTGGGGTTCTGAGTTTGAACCCCAATTTGGGTATAGAGATTACTTAAAAATAAAATCGTAAAAAAAAAAATCCATGGTATGATGGTGGTATAAAACACATTTAAGTAGCCTGAAGGAGAGGAGCTGGGAGGGAAGTGACATTTGGCTTTATTTAGCATTCATGCATTTTTACACTCTGACTTCTGTTTTTTAGCACTCTAGATTTTCTTCCCTTTCATATTGTTTTAGCATGTACAAGGCAGGAACCCAGACCCCAAGGTAATGCTTCAACGTTCATGAGTTCTCCTTTTAGGTAGTAGTAGTATTCTCTTACTTCTTTTTACCTTTTTTTTTTTTTTAAGTTTTATTTATTTCACAAGTAATCTCTGCACCCTACCTGGGACTCGAACTCACAATCCTGAGATCAAGAGTCACATGCTCAACTAACTGAGCCAGCCAGGCACCCCAGCAGTAGTATTCTTTTAAAACTTGGTCTTTTGGCATATACTTACAGGGTGCCACATAACTTAGAGAAGATTTTCTCATTTCTAAGGGTTCAGGTTCTCTTTTATTGGTAATGTATTTATTTTCCTCAACAGAGTGGAAAAATTGAGTCTAGGACTGTTTGATTAGTTTTTAATATTTTAGCAGCCAAGCTTAATGTGTTATGCTTGTATTCTAAATGTAATTTTAAGGAATTTACCAAGATGCAGTGGATAATTTGTAATCAGGAGTAAAGCATAGGTATCATACTTTCTTTAATGAGGGCTGGTTTAAATCACTGCTCTTACTGGCATTTGCTAGCTATGTTTTGAACAATTGAAAATAAATATACTTACTGCTTTTGTGGGGGTGCAATTTTACAGGTTCAGCTCTATGAGGATTTTGCTAAGTCTCGCGCCAAGTGTGATGTTGATGAAACAGTTTCTTCAGCTGCACTTTCTGAAGAAACTGAAAAACCAAAGCTTAAAGCTACAGGCCATGTATTCCAGGTATAGATTATAGTCTCCTTTTTAATTCTTGAAGAATCATATTCTTCAGTGCAGCAATTTTTACATGGAATACTGAAGTATGGGCTTATTTAAGTTTTTTCAATATTGTATATACATTCTTGAAAATAAAAAGTACTAATTTATTTTCATATTTATAATTAGTAATTAATAAGTAACTTAATATTAAAATTATACAAAATGCAGTATATCTTTGTATATTACTTGAAAAGAGTTTTAGAGAATCTTTTGCTTTATGTTAAAAAAATATTGGAATGCCTGCCATAAGGCAGTAATTTTTGTAAGCTCACGGGTTAATTAAAGCACTGGAAAAAACAAACTCCTTCCCTTGTAGCGTTCAAAAAGGAGTAAGTAAAACACATACTATGTAAGAGAAAATAAAGCAGAGTGTATGGGGTTATATAGTATAGGAGTTGTGGTTTTTAGTAGAGGGATCAGGAATGGCTTCACTGAGAAGGTGACATATAAGCAGAGATCTGGAGGATTGAGGCATGCAGATATGTGGGGGGAAGTGATTTCCAGGCAAGGATACCAAAAGTACAGACATGTTGAGACATGTATGCCTCATGTGCTCAAGGGAATAGCAAATGAAAAAGAGAAAGTGTCAACTCAGTCTTTCTGTCCCTTTTGAAATATTCCACCATAGAAATCCTCCCCAAACCCCTTTGCCACCAATAAATTAAATACTGTAACATTTTTAAAGACAGAAGAGGGGGAAAGGTAGTTGTGAAGGTTGATACCTCTCCCACAGTTTCTATCATAGTGTCCAGCAGTCTCTTGAGCCTTGTCAGTGGAGCTTTCTAATACAAATCTCAAGACCCAAATCATAAGCCAAGTAAAAGGCAAGAGAAAGAATGTAGCTGAATTAGAGAAAAGAAAGAAGGACTGTATAGGGTTTCTTAAACACAACCACTTGAAATAACCACCTCATTCCACCTTCACCTCTCCCTGACTTGCTGAATTAGAATACTGGGTAGGGGAGAGATTTGCAGATTTATAAGGTCCTCAAGAAACTTTTATATCCACTGAAGTTTGAGAAACCCCTAGGAAATCTTTAGGAAATGTTGCCTTATTCCAGAAGCATCTGTAAGCATTATCAGGCACGTTGAGTGGGAAAGAGGTCTTTCTGTCATGAGAAGCTCATTGTCTAGTGAGGGAGAGAGACGTAAACTGTACAATTTTTACAAGCTGTAAATGCTCTCATATACTGCACAAGAAGCACAGATGAAGGCATCCCAGATGAGATATATGAACTGGTTCTTGAAGAATGAGTAGGAGTAGCAAGAAGAGGAAAAAAGGCATTCTATGGATGGAATAGAATAGGAAAAGATATTGAGACACAGACATTTCTGGCATGTATGGACTTGTGTATACTTTTTTCCCCCTTGAAGGCATTACAGTACTTACGTAAACTGTGCAACCATCCAGCATTAGTCTTAACACCCCAACATCCAGAGTTCAAGAGTACTACTGAAAAACTGGCAGTTCAGAATTCTTCTCTTCATGATATTCAACATGCCCCTAAACTCTCAGCTTTGAAACAGGTAAGTAGGTCTCATGAGTGTTAGATGTGTGTTACACATTCTTGATCTGTAACACTGGGCAAATTGGCTTTTCCAAGAGATTACTGAAGTGTTTACCATTTCTTTTATTTTTTAATTTGGTTTGTTCCATTTTTGGTTTAGCTTTTTAAAAAAACTGTGGTAAATATATATAGTATAAGACATGCTATTTTAACCATGTTTAAGTGTACAATTCTGTGTCATTAATTACATTCACAATGTTGGGCAGCTATCGCCACTATATTTCCAAAATTTTGCCATCACCTAAACAGAAACTCTGTACACATTAAGCAATAACAACTTCCTATTCTCCTTTCCTCCAACCCCTGGTACCCTCTAGTCTACTTGATATCTGTATGAATTTGCCTGTTCTAAATATATCATGTAGGTGGAATCACCCAATATTTGCGCTTTTGTGACTGGCTTATTTCACTTGGTTTTCAAGGTTCGTTTGTGTTTGTAGCATCTATTAGTACTTCATTTTTATGGCTGAATAATATTCCATTGTTATTATTATGTATATACCACATTTTGCTTATCGTGTTGATGGACACTTGGGTTGTTTCCACCTTTTGGCTATTGTGAATGATACTGCAATGAACATGGGCTAATAAGTATCTGTTTAAACAGCCCCTCTTTTCAGTTCTTTTGGATGTAGACCGAGGAGTGGAATTGCTGGATCATATAGAAATTCTATGTTTAACTTTTTCAGGGACTCTCAGACTTTTCCATGGTGGTTGTATTCCCACCAGCAATATGCCACGGTTCCAATTTCTCCGCATTCTAGCTAGCACTTCACTTTTTTTTTTTTAATTGTAGCCATCCCAGTAGGTATGAAGTGCTTTCTCATTGAAAATGCCTTTTAAGTTCTTGGACCATTTTTAAATTGTGTAGTCTGTCTTTTGGTTGAGTTTTAAGAGTTTTTTTTATATTCTAGATATTAGGCCCTTATCAGATACATGATTTTGCAAATATTTTCTCCCATTGTGTAGATTATCCTTTCACTTTCTTCAATACTATCTTCCATGGTTTCTGATGAGAAATCCAATATTAACCTCACTGAGGATCCCTTTTACATGACGAATTCACCTTTCTCTTGCTGCTTTCAGGACTCTCTTTGAATGGTTTGATTGTAATATGTGTCAGTGTGGATCTCTGAGTTCTATCGGGAGCTGCGTACTCTGCCAGTTTGCTCATGTTGGTCTCTTGGAATATAGCTTTCAGAAACAGAATTTTTGAAAATTCTAAGATTTCAAAAGGTTAAACTTTTTAAAAGAACCAATTTCAAGCATCAAAATGTTGAGGCTAATACATTTAGTTCTAACTCGTCTTAAAAATTAAGAGCTTACTATAAAATCTGGACTTTAGTAATTGTGTTTGCTTTCTATAGTTATTCTGGCCTAAATTTTTTTTTTTTTTTTAAGATTTTATTTATTTGACAGCGAGAGAGGGAACACAAGCGGGGGGAGTGGGAGAGGGAGAAGCAGGCTCCCCGCTGAGCAGAGAGCCCGATGCGGGGCTCTATCCCAGAACCCTGGGATCATGACCTGAGCCAAAGGCAGACGCTTAACGACTGAGCCACCCAGGCACCCCTGGCCTAAATTTCATTGAGAATAACTAATGAAAGATTTTAGATTTCACGTGGGTTAATATAAAAAATGTTATATAATGACATATATGACATCCAGGCATGTATCCTTATATTACTAAATGTGAAAGAATGGATTTTTACCATAAAATGGAAGAATGACTATTGCCTTTAGATTGTTTATGCATGGAATAGTTTTCTTATTTGACCAAACTAATTTTGTATGTAAAATGTTCACAGTTTTCTTAACATAGCTGATACACATTTTTTTTTTAAGATTTTATTTATTTATTTATTTAATTGAGAGAGAGCATGAGTGGGGAGGAGGGACAGAAGGAGAGGGAGAAGCAGACTGCCTGCTGAGCAGGGAGCCCAACGTGGGACTCGATCCCAGGACCCTGGGATCATGACCTGAGCCGAAGGCAGACGCTCAACTGACTGAGCCATCCAAGTGCCCAACATAGCTGATACATTAAATAAAGCTATAAGATATACTTAGTCAAGGAATCAGCTAATTAGGTTTCCAAAACAATGTTGAATTTCATCCACACTTTCACTATAGGCTTTAAATTATTTTTAGTTTATCTTTTTGCACATTATTTTTTCTCCCTGCAGTTATTACTTAAACTGATCTCTCATTTTAGAATGCTTCTTGTCATTCTGAAGTGTCTGGAATTAAGATGCTTAGGAACTCTGCAGCTTAGGCCCAGACTGTTTCTGGCCATACCTATGGAGGGCTTTTCTAGAACCTCTCTTTTCCATTTTCCCAGTTCTTTTCAGCCATTGAGAGCAAAGGTTCTGTCTTAGGGAAGAGAGAACTAGCTTGTTTTCTTGCTTGCTTTCATCTAAAATATGTCTATTCTCTGAATTAGGGGGAGAAGTCTTAATTTGCTTTTTAAAAATCTGCCACTAGTATAGAAACATGTTTATCAGCAAGTAATAGTGCCAGAATTATCTAATATTGCCAGAATTTTAAAATTTCAGGATACTGAAATGGTGAACTGAAACTGTAGGTGAAATTTAATGGAAATAAGCAAAGTCAGTTTTAAAAAACTTAGATACAAATTCTGTCAGACTTGGCAAACATTTCATATAGTGTAAAGTTGAGTTTGATTTGATGGCAGGTTCACTATAAACTTGTATGAATTAGTTACTGGTAAATAAAGCTCATATAATCTTGGGCGGGATTAATAATAGTATAATGGCCAAAATGAGGGCATCATAGTTTCACTTTTATACCTGTCACATCAAACTTTGAGTATCATTTATAGTTCTGGGCACTCTTAAGTGGAAGATCAAAAGAATCTGGAAACCATCTTATATGCAGAATAGTTTGAAAAACCTGGGGTAATTTAGCCTATGCTGAAGTTAGGGTAAGATAAAATTAAATTGCTCTCTAGGGAGGCAGTGGCCTCTCAGACACCCATATCAGGTGGCCTTGGTAACCATTTTCTAGAGTCTAGTAATCAGCTTTTCAATGCTGCAAACTAGATTTTGTCAGAATACTTGGAGCTCATCAAGTCTCTCAGGGCAAACTCAGGTTTTATAAGAGATTATTGGAAAAACCAGAATGCCAGTTCTGCTGCCAGACAAGAATATTTATGTCAGATGGTATGTCCATACATCCAGTAGTACAGTTACACTGGAAGAAGATACTAGGAAGATTGTATGGTAAGTGTGGACTTGGAGGAGTCTGAGGTGGATGTTCTTAATATGACTGGTTATCTGTAGGTTTGATATTGTTGCCTAAGGGATTAAGATGATTGAATGTGCATGACACACACATTCTGATAAATTCTCACTCTAGAACTCCTCTTTTATATAAAGAAGCCATGTAGAATGTCCCACTGATACCACATTCTTTACACTGGATACCACCCAGTTATACCCTCCTAAAACACCCCAGATTTTTAAAAAGAAAGATAGTAATCTGATTGCAGATTTAGGGGCAAGGGATAGAGATAATTACATTTATCAGATTTCTTTATTCCACCTGGAGGAGTTCCTTGTAGTATACCCTATATGTACTCTACATCAAGGAGGGGCAATCTAATTAAAGTTTACAATTTAAAGGCTACTAAGGTAGAAGAGAAAGAACATTTGTTTTTCCCCCAGCATCAGATTATGACAACACATGTGAAGTGTTACCTACCAGGTAGGCTCATTAAGAGACAGTGCCCGAAGTTTTTATTGGGTGTGATCATGTAGATTCCCTCTGCCTAGTATATATCAAAATTCTAGACTCCCAGAAAGGAAGCCAGTCTCAGCATAATCCTACTGTTTGCACAACAGTTTAAGCACAATAGGCCATCCTTAATCAAGTAGGAAATAATGGAAAGACTCAAAACCCAAGTTTTTCAAGACTTGTTTCAGCCAAGGACAGACCTTTCAAGCTGGACTTTCTTTTTTTTTTTTTAAAGATTTTATTTATTTATTTGAGAGAGAGAGAATGGGA